GATGGCCTACCGATGCCTACGGACGTGGACCTAGAGATTATGGCGGAAAGTGGGTGCAATTCGAGCACGGGTGAAGCGGAGCCTCCGCTGTCAGGTTGTCACGACGATGCCGAGATGACCGCAGCCGAATGGGCTCACCATTTTGGCCCCATTCTCACTGACGAAGAATTCGAACGCCAAGCACAAGAAGTGGCTCGAAGATCTCGCGAAAGGCATCATTCAGCTGATCGGGATCCTACGGCTGCGTCGTCTATCGGCTGATCGGGATCCTACGGCTCCCTCTGCCCACGACGAGGATCTGCCACAGGCGGAGCCACCCTCGCCCCTTGAACAAGATCAAGTGTCTGACACCAGTTCGTCTGATGGCAATTTCGATCGGCTGATGGCTGAGCATGGGTTTGGGGTGATTTACCCTGATGGGACGTTGGGTGGTGTTTTAGCTCCGGGCAGCGGTGAAGTAGCAGGTGCGAAAGGTCAACCCTCGCATTCATCGTCACAACCTTCATCGGCGGCGACGCCGTCTGACCCGCCTGCTGATGAGATCGTGCCGACTTCTGGTCGTGGAGATGATTTTGGCCGGCTTCCCGCATTGCGCTCGGTCAGCTCGTTTGTCTACACTGTGTTGGCTGCGTCTGGCGTGCAAGGTTCTCCTGGGCGGAGATGGGAAGAGCCTCTCGCGGCGGACCAACTCCAGCGGGCGAGTGACTACTTGGATGCGAACTGTGTGATGTCAGAGGAGCACAGGGAGCTGGTGGCCTGGTTGCTCTGCCATCCGTCCGCGCTCTTGGAAGATACTGGTGAGGTACCTGGCTCTCCTCCTCTCGACTTGGATGTGGTCTTCGATGATGGCGCTCCTGCGGACTTCGACGAGCTGATGCTGGCAGAGACTGGTGACGCGTCCCACGACATGATCGAGGACATACCCCAGGAAGAAAGGCTCGCGCTGTTGTGTCCCGAATCGGAATCAGATCAGGAGGATGTGCACGGGGAGATCCTGGCCCAGACGGTGGCTCCAGTGCGCGGTCATGGATCAAATGACTGTTGTGATAACGGCGCGCAGCTTGGCGTTGTTCCTGGCGGCCTGCAAGTGGACCACGACTCCACAGCAGCGGCTTCGGCGCACATTGCCCCCGCTCAAGAACCACCTCAACTTAGTCTTGAACCTACTCCCCCATGCTCATCAAGTTCAAGTTCAAGTTCAAGTTCTTCTCGTGGCTCGGACCACTCGGGGCTAGCGGATATTTCACGGCAGCAGGCTCTGCATGCAGATGCATATGCGAGTCATGCGGCGCCTTATCAAGTGGCAGAGACTGACCCTTTTGCGGACTGGTGGAGCTGAAGGGCATGCTGCGATGGGTCCTGCTGTGCTGGGTCTCCGCGGTCGCGAACCAATGGATCAAGCTGAGCTCAGACAGCAAGTTCTTATTATTCAACGCGCGCTGGCTGCTGGGGGCGCTGCAGTCGCACTGGGAGAACAGAGCGGACAGCCTTCTGTCAATGTTGGCGAGGTGGATTGGGACATGTTAGAACCCAACACGGTTCATGCAGTCAGCATTGTGGTTCCTACGATCTTGCCCGCTAATCCTAACATGCTGCATGGTGTTGCGACTACTTTGTGCTGGTCCTCTTTTTCGTTGGCCCCACTATCTGAACGACCACCTTGACATTGGCAAGACCATCTGGTGACATGTGCTGATCTGTCGGAACCTCAGATTTCGCAAGCTTTGCGGCTACTTCACCATTTATTTCCCAGGCTGGCAAGGGACAAGCACTGCGAGATTGACTGGATGCTTCGTCACCCTGCTGCGTTTCTTCTCCCTGCCATTGAAGGTCATGATCTCTTTGATCCATATGCTGGAGCAGAGGAAGATGAAGAAGAAGTGGATACACTTGGCACTGGCGGGAGTGGCAGTCCCCCTCTGGTCGGCGAGGCGGGGTCGCTCGAAGCTGAAGGTGTTCCTGGTGTGAGCGGTGCTGCAGCTGATCTGCCTAGTTGCGGTGCTCCTCTTGAAGGTGAAGCTGGTGAAGGTCCTGTGCCTCCTCAAGGTGATGGTGTACTGCCTCCTCGTGAAGATGTGGAACGTGGGAGGGGCGGACGTGGCCAAGTACCACTAGCAGGTGACGCTGCGCCTCAAGTGGAAGATGCTGGACACGTCGGGGTTTCTGATGGTGGTGTGGACTATGGGAGTGCTGGTCGAGTCCAAATGCTGCAAGATGGTGGTGCGGAGCCACAAGGACAGCAACAACAAGGACAACAACAACAAGGAAATGTCTCTGGCAATCGTGATGAGGGTGAGGTGGGGCCCACGGACGATGGCTCTGGTCCTGTCGGGTCTTCATCGGTGCCTAACGTGGAGGACTCGCTTGTGGTTGAGTACTCGGTGGAGTTGGTCGGCGACGCGAACACGGCCTCCAGCGCCAGCAACTACAACCAGGTGCTCTCCGTGGTCGCGGACCTGAGGGCTGGCCCCGCGGGGGCTGACGGCGGCGGCGGCGGCGCAGCCGGCGCGGCCTAGACAACGACGTGCGCCCTTCAGTGGCGTGGGATCCTCCTCCTCCCCCTCCTCCTCCTCAGGTTCCGCCTCGCCCTCTTCCTCCTCTTCCTTCTCCTCCACTGTTCGCGGCCACGGCGTTCTCCGCCTCCAGGCCCAGCGCGGCCGCCCCAGGGCCTCATCGCGAGCCCGCCAGGGACATTTCGTCCGCGCGGGCGTAGGCGCTGGCAGTGCGCCAGGCCACCGACGCTTGCAAGGCGATGCTGACCTCCTGCCAGAGGCTTGCGGCAAGCGCGGAGCCCTTCGCCTCATCACCCGCCATGACTGCGAGCGTGCGGATGGCCGCCTGGGCGCTTTCGCCGGAGCGGCCGCCGATCTCCAGGACGCACGGGGATATGTCGAGTCCCGCGTAGCGCCGCCGCTTGGATCGCTCCCCCTCCGCGGCGGCCGCCCCGTCCCTGCTGGCCGCTGCCCGGACCCGCGGCGGGTCTGCGCGCGCCCCCCACGACGGCGACGTCAATGGCGACGCGCCTCCTCCTGCTCCTGCTCCTGCTCCTGCTCCTCCTCCTCCTCCTTCTCCTCTCCTTCTCCTCATCCTCATCCTCCTCCTCCTCCTCCTCCTCCTCCTCCTCCTCCTCCTCATCATCATCATCATCATCATCATCATCATAATCATCCTCTTCCTCTTCCTCTTCCTCTTCCTCATCCTCCTCCTCCTCCTTTTTCCTCCCCCTTTTTCCTCCTCCTTGCTCCTTCCTCCTCCCTCCTCCGCCCTCCTTCCTCTTTCCTTCTCCTCCTTCCTCCCCCTCCTCCTTCTCGCGGCTCCCTGGCGGGACCTCGCGGCTCCATGGGGGGAGCCGGAGTTTGATGGGATCCCCACCCCGCCACGTTCATTAACGAATTGTTCGTTCTGTTACCACACGGAATGAACATCCACTGTCGGAGGTTCGCGCGGATTTCTTGGATTTGCGTTGGGCCCCCCTGGCGGCGCCTCCGGCGCCGCCCCTGGCGCGCTCCGCTCGCATCCGCGCGGAGCTCCGAAGGTTTTTGTTTATACCGTTTCGTGTTGTTTTGGAATTGCCAGATTTCGATTCTCGGGGGGGGGTTCGGCTACAAGCACTTACGATCCGCACTCAGGCACGGATGTGGCGAAGGGCCCACCCAGCGAGGTGTGGTACACAGCAGACGGTCGGATATTTTTGGACAGCGCGTCGCTCCGCAGGTTCTGGCCCACCACGCTTCGGCGCGACACGCTATCCACATCCCAGCCCCCAAACGTCAATATTCAGGTTTTTTGTCCGAGCCTTCCGCCGCGCGGAGAGGGGCGACATGCTATCCGCTTGCAGGGCATCGCGTGTCGCCGTGGCCATCGTGGCGACGCGTCATGCGAAGCAGAAGTTCTCGACCCTGTCGTCGAGCGGTGCTGCGACCTCCTCCCCAGCATCGCCCCCCCCCCCCCCCTCGGAGCAGCAGCAGCCAGGAGCGACAGGAGGAGGGGGAACCCAGATCTGCGGCGCTGCGCTCTCTTCGCAGTGTGGACCCCAAGAGGTCTACGGCCGGGAACTTCGGCCCAGCGTGTCGCTCCGCTGGTTCTGGCCCACCACGCCCCGGAGCGACGCGCTGTCCACTTTCCGGCCCCCCAGCACCAACGTCCCGAGCGTTTGTCGATTTGCCGCCCCGCGGAGCGGAGCGTGTCGCCGGGACCGCGCGGCGACACGCTGAGCAAAATGTCCCCGACCGTAGACCCATTCCCCAGGATGGTCTGTCATCTTGAATCGGTTTTCGACGGCCCTGGGGCCCCGCGAGGGCCTTGGGGGCCGAACAGTGCCAAGCAAACGTCCGTCGTGTTTTTTCCGCGACGCTGGGGTGTCTCGGAGGCCCCCCATGGGTGCGGTGACCACACCGTGCAGAGATCACCGCACGGTTTTGGGACTTGGGTGGTTTTCCGAGGACATCTCGGGCGAGTGGGGCCCCCGAGGTCCCAGAACAGTGCGGTGACGGACCGTGCGGTGAGGGTCCATTCGGTTTCGAGGTCAACGCACGGTCTGCCACCGCACCGGTTTGGGACCCGGGACTCCCAGATGTCAGGGGAGCAGCAGCCAGGAGCAGAAGGGAGTGAGTGAATGACGCCAGTCGCGAAGCGAGTTCTGCCTCAAGTGCGACCACCGACGAGCCAACTCAGCCCGACTTCGAACCGTCGGCCAGTTGCCCGACTGCGTGCGATTCGAACCTTACTCGGTACGAGAAGAGTCCGTCGCCTGGCGGCATGCTTGCCCGAGGCCTGTGCAGTCGGGGCCCTGAAGAAGGAACCCTTTTCGTTGGGCAGGGGCTCGGTGTTCCTTGAGTGTTTCAAAGTTTGCCTCGGGTTTTCCTGAGGTCTCCCATGGGAAATCGAGGTTGAACTTACGGGAGAAAGGGGCCTCGTTCCTTATTCAGGGTTCCTTGGGTCAACACAGGGAATGGACGTCCGAGCGGTGGCCAGCGGCAGGGAGGCGAGGAGCACGCCAGGCGCCCGCGGCGGTGGCGGAGCCCGTGTGAGCCTCCCCCCCCCCGAGAGGGAAGCGGTGGCGCGGCGAGGCCCGGGCCCCGCCGCGGGGCCTGTGTCCCGTCTGGGCCGCCGCTGCTCCGACGCGCGCTGCTCGCCCCGGAGGGCACGGGGGGGGGGGGAGAAGGAGGAAGGAGGAAGGGGGAGGACGGAGGGAGGACGAGGAGGAGGAAGGAGGGCTTAACGGTATGGCAGGTAGGGGAGGAGGCGGAGGAGGAGGAGGAGGAGGAGGAGGAGGGAGGAGGAGAGGAGGAGGAGGGAGGAGGAGGAGGAGGAGCAAGGAGGAGAGGAGGAGGAGAGGGAGGAGGAGGAGAGGAGGAGGAGGAGAGGAGGAGGAGGAAGGTTTGTGGCGGGAAGGGAAGGAGAGGAGGAGGGGAGGCGGGAGGGGAGGGAAGGAGGGGGAGGAGGGGGGAGCAGGAGAATGCAGGAGGGGGGCGGGGATGTGGAGGGGAAGAGGGGGAGGCGAGGGTGATGGGAGGAGTCAGGATGCCGAGGAGGACGAACGTCTTCCTCCAACGCAGGTGCCCGGCACTTGTCTTACTCTTGTCGGAGCCGCGCTCAGCGCACCCTTCCCCCGCAGGCAGGCACGACTTGGAGGATCATGAGAAGGAGGGGGAGGGGGGGGGAGGGGGACGGAGGCGGCGAGGAGGGTGTAGGTGTAAGGGAGGAGACGAGGGGGGAGAAAGGGGTGGAGGAGGAGGGGGGGAGGACGAGGAGGAGGACGGTGATGGGAAAGGTGAGGCGAGGAACGACGAGCAGGAGGATGAGGAGGAGGAGGAGGTTGACTGAGACGGTTCCCACCGAATGATCACACGACGCGAACAACCAGGAGAAGGATGATAAGGACGAGACCGAGGGGCATGGGCTGCCAGTGTTCCTGACTTGCCGGCCCATCCCCTGCGCCAGCAGCCAAGGAGGAGTGGTCCGCCAGCTTCCTGTCTTCGCGCCCTGCGCAGCAGCCGCCGTCTCGGGGTCTACGAAAAGCACTGCGTACCGCTGTCCTCTTCACTATCACCGGCCTGCTGGATCTACTCCTCCTCCCCCTCGTCCTCCTCCACCTCCACATCCATAACCGCCGCCTCCTCCGCCTTTCGAACCCTTCTTCCTATTCGGTATCCATCTTCATCTTCTCCCCCTCCTGCTCCTCTGCCCCCTCTTCGTCCTCCTCCTCCTCGCCATTTTCCTCATCCTCTTCATCCTCCTCCTCCATCTTCGCCCTCCTCCCCCCTGCCCCCATTCCAGGGCGGGCGGCCCGTTGGGTTGCCCACCAGCTGGAGCGAATGAGAAAATCAGTGCCTCCTCGAGTCCAGGCGGCCGTTTTGAGCACCATATTCAACAGGTAGACGACTAACAAGAGAATGATTGCGCCGCGGAGGGGGAGACGCAAGTTCGTCCTCGGGTGATCGTGCGCAGCGGGCGACTCCACAGAGCACTTCGTACACTGCGCGGTGGGTAGACCGCAGGCAAGCAGGCAAAGTGTGGCGAAAGAGATGGCAAAGAGAGTACCTGTGGCAACTATGGCGGCCAAGAAGTTGCAATGACAGGCACGTTATGAACAGTTTACAGAGGCGTTCTTTGTAACTGCGGAGGGGCTGGCGACCCTTGCGCGGGAAGTCATGGACCAGCTCCTGCACGAGGCGACCAGACACGATGCGAGGTTGAGGACGCTGTGCCAGTTCACGGCTCGACCGCAGGGGCGTGGTTGCCAGCAGCCCGACGACGCCGAACGACAAAGAGTGAGCGCCAGGCGCAACCAGATGGGCCAGTAGGGACGGGTCAGCACGGCACGCATTCCAAGACCAGGTTTGACAGTAGACTCCTCGTGTCGAAGTCTCCCCTCGATCTCTTCTACGTGGCTTGCCTCGTCTCCACCGTCAAACACCTTCTTCGTGCTTGGCCGTCTACGGCGGCATCAGCTCCAACGTCCCCCCCCCGACGCCTCCCCTGGCGCCGGCCTGATACCACGCTGATTTTCCACCCAGCCTCAGCCCCCATCCGGCCCGTCTCCGCAGCGGTCCCCATTCCGACTCCAATTTGGATTTCGTGTTTGCCAAACTTGTGGTTTTGCCCGGCGTCGACCCCGCCAATTTGCGGACAAGCGCCGCGATGATATGCAACAGCAGCGTCTTGGCATCCATATGTGACGCTTCATTTGGCAACATCACGGGGACCAACGATGAGGACGAGCAACATAAACGCCCCGACATCCACATGCAACGCTTCTCTGAGCATGCGCCCGTGGGTTAGGAGCATGACAGTGAGCAGCATCCCCGTTCCGACCTACGCATGTGACACGCATGGTAGCATAACTCCGCCGACCAGCAGCATGACGGTGCGCAGTACCGTGGCTCTTCCTTGTACATGTACCAGGCCCTCTGAGCCAACTGCGCAATTATCACCATTTGCGTGATCTCCTCTGAGCTCCGCCAATCCCAGTGCTAAGCAGATCCAAGTTCGGCCTCGACTCCCTGGGTGCTGCCAACTGAGAAACTGCCGCGACGTTCGCGACCTCTTGTGAGGTCCACCGGATCGCGGTGCTACACGACGCCTCGGCCTTCCAGGTGAGCGTCGACGATACGGATATGTTCTATCATGTTGCCCGGGGCGACGGCAATGGACAATTCTCTCTAGGCGGCGAGCCTGGGGGGGAAGTGAGAAGGGGCAGGCTCTTCAGAAGGCTCGGAAGTCCCCCCGTGGTCTGAGAAGTTTCCTAGGCCGTCCCCGAAGACAGAGAAAACTTTCACATGGCCAGAGGGCTTCTGGGAAGCCCCGCCGCTCTCTGAGAAGCCTCTCTCTTTCTCACTTCCCCCCTTGCTTGCCGCCGATTCTCGTGACCCACTGCTTCGATACTCTCTCGGGGGCCGCCCGCGGACCTGATGGCGCGTCTGCAAACGTTTCTGGCGTCCGCGTTTACAGTTGCATGGCGCAGGCCGCGACGCTGGCAGAGCAGTTCGGTCTGGCTAGCTTCAGTTCGCAACTCGGCGAAGGAGCCGCCAGGTCGTTTGCGGACACGCTCATACCCCAGACCCCCCTCGGGGTGTTTTTTTATAGACAGAAGAAACAACATGAAGAAGAAAACAACATGTGTGTGTGTGTGTGTGTGTGCGTGTGTGTGTGTGTGTGCGTGTGCGTGTGCGTATGTGTATATATGTGTATTTGTGTATGTGTGTACGTGTGTATGTGTGTGTGTGTATGTGTGTGTGTTTGTGTGTGTTTGTGTTTGTGTTTGTGTGTGTGTCTGTGTGTGATTCGGCTTGCGGGAGCCTTTACCGGGCTTCGGGGCCGCCAAAAAATTATCCAGGACGAAGTGCCGATCCCGGGGAAAGGGTCCAGACCTCTGGGGGTCGACGTTCTCAAACAATCACGACGTCGGGGGTATGGGAGGCTACACGGGCACGCGCACAGCTGCGAAATTGCAGTGCCTGCGCTGGGCGGGGCAGGGCTGGGACCAACAGGTTGGCTAAAATCCCCAGCCTGGGATCGCCCCTGCACGGGCAATGTCTCAAAAGTTCGTGCGTCGCCACCGATCGCATGTCATCCCTCCTCGTTGTCCACACCATTATCACGTTGTCCTTTCCCTCTTGCGTATGACACTTTAAGCTCCCCCCGCTCCTCCATTAACGCACTGTTTCTCCTGAGCCTCCTCCTCCTCTTCCTCCTCCTCCTCCTCCTCCTCCCCCTCTTCTTACATTCCCTCTCCCTAATAAATAACTCCACCCTGTCGCACCCCGACGCGTGTCAGTAGAGCAGGCCTGGCGTTTCGCCTGAGAGTTCCACACCACTCATGACTCATGACCATGTAGCTTTTAATTTTCAACAGCTTCACGGATGGAGGGCGGGTCGTTTTCAAACTGATGTTCTCGCCTCAGCGCCGCGCACATACGTTTTACAACAGTTGTGGGGGGTTCACGGATTGAAGGTGGGCCGTTTTCGACAGACAAAACGACGGATCTCGCTTATAGCGGCTCGCATGGTGACGTCGAAAGGGTTTCACTGATGGAGGGCGGCTCCTTTTCAAAATGTGGCTCTCGTATTAGAGCCTCGCACATGTGTTTGCGGATTTCCAGTTTCAAGGATCATCTCGTATAGAGTTTCAGAAATGATGTTTTGGATCGGCAAGCGGCTTCAAGGCACACCAGTCACTTTAATTCGCGGTGTTGAAATATTACGAATACTGTTCTGGCACGATTCAGGACTGTCAAGGAACAGGGGTAAGGTTGATTCGTGGCGTTGAAGGCCCAGGAATGGCGCGATGGCACGGTTTAGGATTTCAAGCGATCGTCCTCCAACGCGGCATTGCCGTCCATTGACATGAAAATTCGGGGCATGCCAAGAGGGAGTTTGGAGGGAGGGTTTATTTAATCATCGTTGATGGGTCTGGGGTTTTGATTGTTTCTCCTCCTCCATCCTTTTTCCTGATGAATGAATCCTCCCTGTCCCACCCCGGCCAGTCGAATGGGCCGGCCTGTCGCTTCGATTGAGATTTCGTGACGACGTGTGCTCTTGAAGCTGACAACTGTGAAACAGATTCAAGAATGGAGTGCGGCCAACGTCCAGAATGAGGTGATCTCTTGAGCGCCTCGCTCATTTGTTTGAAAGGTTTGCAAGAGCTTCACGGATTGAGGGCGGCTCCTATTCAGACTGCGTTGATCGACGCACCGCTGCGCACATCCATTTCAGGACGGGACCATCATGGGTAACGTTCCAGAAAAAGCGTGTTGGCAGGATGCCGACACGTCAGGGCGCAACAGTCACGTTGGTTCGCGGCGTCGAAGTCCAAGGAACGACGTACAGGCAAAATTCCCGATCGTCAGGACGCAACGGTCAGGGTGATTCGCGGCGTCGAAATCCAAGGACTGATTTTCTGGCGCTGTTTTGGATGTGCAAACGCTTGTTCTTCCAAGGGGGCAATTCCCACAGTGGAAATGAACCTTTTGTACGGGCCAATGAAGGAGGAACTTGGAGGGAGGGTTCATTACACTACTGCTGACTAGGCCCCCTCCTCATCCTCCTCCTCCCCCCCATTCCTCCTCCTCCTGGTCGGCGTTTCGGAGCGAGCGATTGAGGAATCGACGCGCCCGAAGTGCGCAAGCGCGCACCATGCCGAACCTCAGGCGCGGGTGA